TTCACACTGCCAAATTTTTAGATATAGATAGGTGTGATTTCCCTGTTCTTTTAAATCTGACAGACAGAAGAGAAGAATGCCCGTTAAACTGGTTTCATTATCTGGAGACACTCAGACAAAGTGGAAGCAAGACACCCAAATCAAACCCAAAACCCTTTTAAAAGAAGAGGAGATATAATCAAACCACCAGGGTAGAAATCATCATGCAACAAATACAACTTTAAAGAACAACAAGACAATTCCACCAGAACAGCCACACTGAACAGTATATTAACATAAGACTACAGTGTGCAAAATCTTTGACCACCTAAAATACTGGTGGGTGGGTGGGTGTGCGCGCGCGCATGCGTGCACAAGGATAAGATCTCTCTGACATTTCCTTTTCTCTTTTTTATTCGAAAAAAGGACATTCACCGGGTAAATGGTTCCCAATGCAGATGTCAATCTGGCGCAGGTCAGCCTGCACAAAATATGTCAGCATGGCATTGAATACAGATGGCTTGATGGACAGGAAGGAGATGGAGACGAAGACAAGGAAGAAGAAGGGAATAACCTGCAGACAAATTCTGTGTAGAAAGCAATGGATATAATTCGAGTGCTGACCCTGATTTTATTATGCTGGACCCATACTGGGCAGCCATAGCAATGCAGCTTCACAACGTTCGTCCCAGTTCTAGACATACTGGTGAACTGAACTTGGACCCTTCAAAATCCATCGAAGAAAGGAACATCTGGGGTAAAGTAGGACACCAGCCATGTTGGTTAAGACCTTGCCCCAGAAAGATTGCCCTATCGTTGCCGGAGTGAGGGGCTTGGGCTCAAGAACACAACGGCTGGCACTGCTATGTGGGTACTATGAGCATTGCTAGTTTTCTTCCTGCTCTGTGTGACCCCCTCAGGGGGAGGTGGACCTTCTTCACTAGCTACAGCTGCACAGGAAGGAAAGCTGGCCGGACTCCCCCTTTCATATCCAGGGTCTGCCATTTAATTCCGAGGTCCAAGAGGACTGCTAGAACGTACTGCTCCTTCTTCCACAAGGAGGTGGACCTGTAATGGAACAGGTCCTTTAGCTTGCTGGACAGGGCCACCAGTACAGGCCACGAAAAAGAAGTTCTTCCTCAGCAGTATCCCCCCCCCATCCACATAGACAGCCTCCTCCTTGTGCCATTCATTGTGCCAACTATTGGGACTGCATGGCTAAAGTTGGCTGTCTCCTCACGAAAGGCCCATCTTCCCTTTCCAAAGCTTCCCAGGATATAGACCCCTCGACCCGTAACGTCCCCCCTCTACTCTCCCCAGAGAAGCAGCCAAACCAGTGGACGTCTCCAGGGTTGAACCATGGAGGGTCGTTTGCTGCTCCAGCAATCTTTCCTGCTGGTAGAAACTGGGATTCCGTGAAGCTGCCACACTCTGGACTAGGTCATGCAGTGGCCATCCCCATTTTTCTTGCCTCTGCGGAGAGGGTGGGCCGTACACTGCTCCCCTTTCATCTTCCCCGCTGGCGGGGCTGCCCTGCTGTCTGTGTCCTTTTCTGTCGCTAGAATCTGCTGCTGCAGCCTGTCCCTCAGAAGCTCTCCATCCCAGCCACAATCAACAGGGCCCATTCTGTGTCCTCCTCTTGTGTGTTGCCCTATGCCTGGTGCCTTCACCTCCCATCAGGTCCTGTCAGGGAGAGAGACAGGTGTGCTTTGCCCTTGGGCCGCTCCAGAGGTCACAGGTAAAATGCACCACCTGCGCCCCGGCCAACGGCTCCTGTACCAGTCGCCTGGCAGCCCAATATAAGTCTGGCACCACTCTGTGGCTAAGGATTGTTCAGGAATTGGGAATTCACAGTGGAGTGTCAGTTTTAACACAAACCTACAGAAACCAGTGTTCTCTGCCAGAAAAAAAAATGCCTGGTCCTCTAGGACGATCATCTCCCCTAGGCAATGAGTAATCTTGGCATTATCTATCTATCTATCTATCTATCTATCTATCTATCTATCTATCTATCTATCTATCTATCTATCTATCTATCTATCTATCTATCTATCTATCTATCTATCTATCTTGCATCCTTTCAAGCTCCTCAGAATATTTCTGGATCCAAATACACATCCCCTCATGTTGTTTTTGTTTTTTGTTTTGCTTATTTCCTTTCTTGACTTATTTATGCAGGACTCAATAAAGACGACAAGCAAAGACATCCAGGGGGTAGAAGGAGAGAAATTTCTCCATATTCTAGCCGTTTCGGTTTCGGTTTGGGGGACATTTATTGTTTTATTGTTTTATTTGCCTTTATTTGCTTGCTTTTCTTGTTTGTGGGGATAGGAGGTTGTGGTTTTTTTGTTTTGTTTTGTTTAATTGCTGTACACACACACACACCCGTGTGCTGGAGGTGCAGGCTTCCTTGTCAGACTGGTTTTTGAAAATTCTTATGCCATTGATTTGCTGTGGATCTATTCTGCTTAAGGAATATATTTTGGTGGGAAAATTTGATGATTTTTATCTCTTATTTACATTTAGATTTGGAGCATTTTTGGAGTGGATTGATTCTCTTTTGCCTGACTTGCCCCTGCTCTTTTGGAGTATTTTTAAAGGCTTTTGAAAACAAAAGAGGCACCCTCTCTGAAAGATACCAAAAAGAATCAAATATGGAAGTTTCTCCTGTGCACCTCCCTCAATGTCAGCTCAGTAAACCATGGGGGAAAATATTTCATGGCTCAAGCACAGTTGATTTGTGCTTCATTGTGGGTGATGAGGCAAATGATAAGGGACGTGTGTTTTGTATCACAAAGTGCAGTTTGCAGCATTCAGATGTTCTTTTCAAAGTGACAAAAAAAAGACGGCTGGTGTCCCATTCAGAAATGTGGGACATAGTTCTCCACAACTGTATTCAACTGGCCCATTGAAAGCAACGGGCTTCTTCACACACAAAGAGAGGTAGTGAATGGAACAAAGAAGAAGAAAATGCAGGCAGCTGTTGGGCGCTCAGTACAAATGAACAAGATGTTGGCTGACTTTTTTAGTCACTTTTGGTAAATGGAAAAGTAAACCATTAAAAAGTTTTAACTTAAATGGTAATTGTTACTTTTGTTGAGTTGTCGGAAATATAACCCTAACTAATGCCTTTTTAAAATGGAACTTCTCAAGCTCTGAAACCAGGCCAACCTCAAAATATTTTTGCAGTGTAGCAGAAAATACAGTCGTTAAAAAACTCATTTCTGAGACTCAAAGTATGGGCTTGATGAAAGCTCACACTTTGATGAGGTATCTTGAGATATCTTGTGATATCTTCTTCCTTTCCCTTTTTCAAGGGCTACAGAAATTGGGCGTCTCTGCACAGCAAGCCCCGGTCCTGTTACTGCCTATGCATTTTGAGGGGGCAGGGAGGAACATATACCCATGACCAGTAGGGGAAGAAAAGCAAGATAAGAAGGCTAAGATGGATCCTGGTGTATTGCACCAAAGGCCCATCTCATCCACCACTCTGTTTCCATAATGCCACTTCCGGTACTGTAGGCAACTGGCAGTATTCAGTCATACTGCCCCTGGCCAGCATGTGTTGTCAAGTAAATTCTGACTTATAGCGACCCTTTTCAGCATTTTCCTGGTATTGAATAGAAGCGGATGGCCCTTCCCTTCTTCCGGGGTCATCCTGGGACTGTGCACCTCGCCCAAGGTTACACAGGCTGGCTTTATTTGCAGGGGCAGTTCGCCCAAGGCTACACAGGCTGGCTTTATTTGCAGGGGACTTAATGGGGAATCAAACTCCCAACCTCTGGCACCGCAGAGGTTAACCTAACTCACCAAGCTATATATGAGGCTTTATTCATGGCCATCACTGCAACGAGCCATTGCCAGCTGCTTGTGAATCAACCACAGGAAACTGACAGCTCCGGGTGACCTTCGAGTGACACATTTAGTTTGCATTTATTGCAATTTCATTGCGTGACATAAATTTCAACGTGGCAGGGGTGTTCTGTGGAGGTTTACAAGGAATTACAAAACAGCTTCCCTGTGATGAAGGACAAACAAAGAAATAAAACAAAAAAATTAGAAAATGCAGGTCCCTGGATGGAAAAAAAGCATCTATTGAGTAATACATTGGTTCTGTACAGATTATGCTTTAGCCACACACCCCACAGCTAGCAAGAAGACGTTTTAACACACAGGTTGCTGATTAGGTATGATGATGCCACATCCATACAGGTGCAGGAGAAGAGTGGTAGAGGAAAACAGAGAGATTCAAGCCTGGATTTGGAATCGTCCCTGTTTGTTTTTCTAAGACCGGACCAGACAATATGGCTTTCAGACATCATTAAAGAGAAGAGGAAGAAAACAGACAGGTCTTTTAAAGCTCATCGAGCAGAAGGAAGAGGAACAGAATACAGTACATGCAATTTGAGAGTATGCATATGTCAGCTGGTTTTCCATTCAGTCTTTTTATGCCCTAAAAGTTATTATGGTGTGAGAGAAGCAGTTTTTCACATGGCGTCTCCCTAAGGATGGCTAGTTTTTTCCTGTTTATTATTATTATTATTTTCCTTTGGGAGATCTTCCCAAATGGTATATGCCCTCAGCAGCAAATCCTCCAACAAATTTTCACAAATCAATATGCAAGTGCAAAAGTTCAGGGACATCTTTGGGTTTGAATCAACATTTCTTCAAAGCAACAAGGGACGAGAGTCTTCCATTTCTTCTTTCTTAGAAACGTCATGGCCTCGGTTGGCAGCAGCTGAAAGCACAACTTGAGGCCTTTCGGCCTTCCAACTATTCCTGATGCTGCCGCCTCCCAGTGGTGTTGCTAACACTCTTCACCATGCCCACACAAGGACTGTACATGGCTTTATTCCATCTTTACTGCCTCCTGACACTTCAGCTGAGCACAGATGGCTTGAAGATGAGACAGCCTGAATGACGAACTGTCTTGAGAGAGAGAAAAAAATCTCCAAAGCTGGAGGTTTTCTTTGAATCTTAGAACTGCAAAGCTGAAGGGACTCAAGTCCAGCCCCCGTTAAGAAGGCCCAGTGGGGAATCGAACTCTGCTCCACAGACAGAGACCTAAGCTACTGAGCTATCCAGCAGTTCATAAAATATAGAAGCAACTTTTCCTCTGGTTGAAAATACTGATACAGGCTATACCATGCAACCATTTTTTGTTGAATATAGTTCTCTGGGAAAGAAACAGAGTCAATGGTTACCCTCTCCAAACTCTGCTTACTCGGTTCCAGTATGACAAAAATCTATCAGAAATTCAGCCAGTTTCATTCATCAATATGGCTGTAATACTGGTAAAATTCCTGCAGTTCCTATATTCTACATTTATCAAATATTATCTTGCTCCTTATTTACAGTGCAGGATATGTACATATTTGGTTTCATGAATCTTTTGATGTTTGGTGAACAGAATCCTAATGAAACTAGGTGGGCAAACAACCACAACAGGAATAATAGCAACACATGCTGTCTGATAATAGAAATACCTGCCCTCCCACAAACCAATGCATCTGAAATACTTTCAAACAGATGAAACCATTGGTCACCACTCTTTCTGGGTCACCTGTAGCTAGATGATACAGATAGCATATCATAAGAAGGGGAGCTCCCTTCCAAGATAAAAGATTTGTTGTTTACCCTCACAGGAGTTTACAACAATCTGCATCTGACCAATTTGCTTGTTTTTGATTTGTGGCTGGTCATTGGGAATGAAACATGGCCTTTATTTGCAAATCGCATTGCTCAGGCATGGAACATTGAGAGAACTGCATACCTGGAGGGACAACATAGCAGGTAAGAAGCATTTTCGTTACTGTGCAGCTTGACCTTCTCCCTCATGAGATCCTGCCCGAACTGATATTTGTGGCTACCTGAAGCACTTCTAATCTGTCGCATGAACTATCTGATGTCGATGGAATAGAAAGTTTATTCAAAACATGTTTAAATGAAGAAAAAGAACATATGGGCCAATTTTTGTTTTCAAAATGAATACTGAATCAAAGTGACTTGAGAGGGGGATTGATTTAGATGGTCTCCAAGACCCCTCCAAAGGACTGCTTTTATGTGGAGAAAGGATAGCAAAAATGTTATTTGAAAGGAGCCGGAAGTTTGATCCAGAGAAGGGGCTTTCTCTGTTAAAAACAAAAACAACACAGAGACTGTGCAGGAAGTCTCAGATTAGGTTTTTAGAAAGCTGAACACACACCACCACCAGTTGTTGTGGTGAGATTCTAAAAAGATAGCCTTATTCTTAGTCTGTGAGCTCTCTAGAGCCCCAGCTGCCACTGGTGATAAAGGAGATCTGATTTAATTTTTTTCCCCTAATTTCCTGGAAAGCTATAGAAATGTAGACATCCAGTCTTTAACTTGAGCTTCAGAAGGGTCAGTTGGTTGTTAGAGTTGGCTCTGTTCCCTAAAATGCACATACCGACACAGACATGCATGGTCATGAAGCTGCTGCTGTTGTTAAGTTAGTGCTGGAAATGTTCCACACATTCAGCCGGAAGAAGGGCCTTCATTCAAAGAGTTAGCTTTGAAGCAATGAGCAAATTTCAAGTGTGTTTGTGTGTAACCTGGCCGTATGGGTTCCATTCCGACCACACAATGTTCCTAGAACTAAGGTTTCATCATTATCTCTGTGGGGTGCTTCATTCACTCTCCCTTCCCCAGAAGCTGAGGTATCAGTGAAGAAATATTGGCGGACATTTTGTTTTTCTTCTAAACATGGCTCTTCGTTGACTGTCGACGTTTCCTTTCTGACTCCGTCAGCCCTCACATCAGGACTTGATCCCGCGTCTCTGGGAGCCGCAGAGCAAGGAGGCCTCCTGCAACCAAAGCAGAAGAAGCCAGGAGGATGGGGACAACTTTGGTTATCCCAACGAAGGAAGCAAAGATGGAGTTTCCCAAAATGGCCCCGATTTTGCAGATGCCGTTGAGTATGCCGAAGGCTGTGGCTCTGTGAAAAAGGAGCGAAAGTTCAGAGAAAGTTAGAGCAGTGTTGTTGTTTTTTAAATGAAGGCCCAAGACCTCTAGATATCAACCTGATTTCATTATTCTGAGCATGCCAAAATTTCAGCCACTGGAATCTTCTAAAAACGTTTCTCTACTAATCTTCCTCACCGTAAGAGAGACGAGTAGGAAGAATCACCTTTTATGAGTAGGGTAGAGTTCCACAGTGATCACATCGAGAGCATTCCAGGCAGCAATGCTGGTACCACAGAAGAGGCACTGCCAGCCAATCATGGCCGACTCGCTGTTGCCAAAAAACAAGAAGAAACAGCACACGGCGGAGATCAGCATGGAACCTCCTGCAAGCCCAAGCAGGAAAGAGAGAAGACATGTGAATCTCTGAGCTAGAGGAAACATGCACAAATAGATCAGTTATTGACTGTTAGGATCGTTCCGTAGTAGAGATGCACACGAACCAAACTGCAAACTGAAAAAAAAAAAGCACGGACTGGACTGGTTCGTGGTTCCGTTCGTGCAAGCCATTTTGCTGGAACAAAATGAAGCATCAATGAAGCACCGCCCCTTCCTGCTGCCCCCGTTTCCCTCCTCCTTAGTCCTGCCACCTCCTCTAGCTCACCCCAACCACATGCTTTATGACACTTTCAAAGAACTCTAAATGGTAGGTGAAATGGGATGAGATTAACAGAACCCATGCTCACTCTTCTATAGCAAGATCAGCCCTTCTAAATGCTTCATAATTTTCCTTTTAACAATACTTTATATCCACTTACTCAGAACATACTTCAAGCCAACCTGCTTGCAAGCTCCTCTCACCAACATTCTCTTTAAAAACAATGACAGTCTGTTGTTGCATGTGGTATCTTTTTGTGAAAATTAACAGTTTCATACTTAAGTAAACAACACTTCTGTAAGCATGATGATGCCACTGGCAGCGGGGAGGTTTTGGGTAATTAATGAGTTCGTACTTGTGTTTGTGGCTTGTGTGACTCATATGTAATCAGTCTCATTCAACTCTTGAGTGAGAACTTTTTAATTACCCCCCAAACCTCCACCTACCAGTAAAATCACCTGGCAGGGAAACATTGCCAGAAATTAAAGAGTTCCTTCTCCTGTCCCAGGGATCACAAGACTTTTGGACAATGAGACTGATTGCACAGGAGTAAAACAAGTCATGGGACAGAAGCAGGAATTCTTTAATCTTGGAAAATCTCCCCTTCTGGTGACATCATCACTCTTAAACAAGATTTTGGGTAAAGTTGGCCTAACAATATGGCAATAAAAATTAAGAATAGAAGTTCCCAAACTTGGGGGCCAAGATGTTCATGTTGAGATTTTTATATTAATGTGTATTAAATATAAAAGTTGTACAGTTGAAAGTAAAAGAGCTGATTTTACCTGAGGCATGTACAGATTGTATTCAGGTGTGGATATCAAGGTTTGAGACTTAATGTTGTACAGCTATGGTACATGATGAAATTTACCCATATTTTTCTGTGTATAAGACTATACTTTTGTCTAAAATCTTTAGATTAAAAATTGAGGGTTGTCTTATACACGGACGTAAGCTGAGGAGAGAACAAAAACAAGCAGGGATCAAAGGAATCCTGCAGCGCTTTGATCACTTTCCCCCTACACTTGCTAAACCCCACTTATTTTTCTTAATTTTGGATTAGAAAAGAGGGGCGTCTTATACACAGAAAGATATGGTAATGTAAATGGAAAATGATGTATTTTCTGATTGGTCCCAGAACCGTACATAATTCATGTGTAAAGGGGACATTTTATCTGCTGCAGGTAAGATCATTTTTTCCAATGCTATGTATTGTAACATGTCATGTTATGCTGCCAGATGAATGTCTATTCTCTCTGTATATATATGTTAATAGACTATGTTGATATTTTACTCTCTCAGGGTCAAACTGTCTATGCAAACTTTTGTTGTTGTTGTTTAGTTGTTAAGTCGTGTCCGACTGACTCTTCATGACCCCATGGACCAAAGCACACCAGGCCCTCCTGTCTTCCACTGCCTGTATTCCACTGCCTCCTCTATGCAAACTAATATCTCCTGCCTCTCTTAACGGCCTGAGAATACACATTTAACAAAAATTCTCAACAGTTCATGGACTTCAATTCCCAGGAGTCCTGAGGATTGACTGTGTCAGCTAAGGCTTCTGGGAGCTGTAGTCCAAGAGCATCTGGCAGCCAGTTTGGAAAACACTGATTTGGAACATTATCTTTTATCATGGCAATTCATCTCACTTCCTCAGTCAGATGCAAAAAGAAAGAAAATTATTCAGCTTGTCTACAGTCCCCTTATCCTCCTTTAGTACTCTTTTAACTCTCTCATACCCCAGCTGTCTAGCTGCCTATATTAAATTGGTATATTTAAGGGTGTTTTTAAAAAAAAAAAAAACTTTTTTGCCTTATTGCTATTAATCTGTACAATACAGATTGTTAGAACTAATCATCCAGGGTGAAATAAATGGGAAAAATTGAAGAACGTCTAGACCAAAAATGGTTAGAAACTGTTTTCTATATGATACAACATCACTGTCTAAACTTGCAGCAACCCAGACTAACCAAAGTGCTAACAAGAAAAGAACAAGGAGGAGGAGATTATTATTATTAGAGGTGTACTTCTGAAAACCCTTTTCTGCATCCCTTATTGTCCACTTGTATTTCCTTCATGCAAGCAGTATGTTTCTTTTTTGTTCTCATTTGGTGGTGGAAGTGCCTTTCACCATCTTTACTTTTATTCTGAAGTAAAGCTTGGAAAGCTTGCATTCTGGACTACAAATTCCATGTTGGACAAATTCTAACCTTCTTCCCTAGTGGATTTGGGGAACTGTAGTAAAAAAAAAAAAGCAAGTTCTATTGTGAAGTAATGGAAACAAGGCACAGAACAACACACTAGCAGCCTTATTTGACCACTCTAATTGACCATATAGAAATGTGTCATTCATACCAACATACCAATCATCTTGATCCTCCCAATTTTGTCCATCAGCAGTGCTGAGATGATGTTGCCGGGCAACACGGAGAGGCTGCCCAGGAAGCTGACAAGGTAAATGAGGAAATCGTTGTCTCGTTCAAAATCCAGCTGACAGCCTGTCTTCTGCTTCATGAAAGTAGTATTCACAAAATTGCAGTCAATAAATTTATGCTCATAGAGGTCTAAGAGAGGAAAGAAAACAGTGGGGTGGATATCATTCCAATGACTTTTGTCAAGCACAATCAACATCCCTTGATTCTCTGACCAGTTTGTCATAGTTTCCTGCAATGATTCTTGAGAATCATCCTTTGATGAAGAACTGGAGTTGTTTAAGAGATCTTTAGTTCCTCTTCCCACTGCCATGGGCCTCCTGGCAGGAAAAAATGTCTTCCCACTTTAAATATGCTTTGCAGACTTAGCCTCCTTCAGACCTTTGACAGAAGATCAGTCTCGGGTACAGGCAGCTAAGGGTGACCCAAAGTGCTTCTCTTTTCCATTTTCACCACCCCATTTGCAAATAACACAAATATAGACTATGGGGATGATGGGGACAAGACAGACTCTTACTGGATCCTTTTAAGGAGAAAGGTGGTGGATGGATGGATGGATGGATGGATGGATGGATGGATGGATGGATGGATGGATGGATGGATGGATGGATGGATGGATGGATAGATGGTTTAAAAAA